CTGTAAGGAGATAAAATAATTTCCAAGGACAGATTTGTGTGCAAAGTATCAAGCGTGCTGATAATTTTCATGTTATCTTCCAGCCCATGGAAACTATCAAGAAAAAAATAAGAACATCAAAAATTTCAAGTTTCGGAAATAGAGTATGAATTACAGTACTGTGCCACACAGTGTTTTGTGTTAAAGGTAAATAAAATGAATACAGTCTGATTTGATCTCCACATTATAGTACTATACGACAATGGGCTGTTCTAAAAGCATGGACCCTTTTGTTTTCGAATGTGTAAATCAACGATGGCCCAGGAATCCCAGTAGTCCCTGTCCACCTTCTCTCCCTGGGCCAGAGTACAGGGAAGCAGCGAGCTCCTAATAACCCAGATTCTGGGCAACTTGGCCCTTGTGCCCTAGAAATGCGGAGGCGGCACATTAACCCCCCTGGTGCCCCTGAGCACTGGGCTGCCAGCACCCTGTCACCTCATAAGCACAGGTCACCCACTCCATTTCCCACACTCAATTAAAGTTGCTCTCCAGGACAGTGAATAAGAAAGGCAGGCAGGTAAATGCTGTTTAACCCACGTTGTAATTCCCAGTTTGACCAGCATCAATCAAAAGAGCTGTGCTGGAGCTGTGATGCTCACTCCAGCCAGATCCCTGACGGTAAAGAGCTCAAGAGAGGAGTAGTTTGGATCAGTTCAAGTCATTCATCAGTTTTGTTAAGCTGTTAATAGCCGCCATGAAATGAAAAATGAAAAGATCAGGAATGCATATCTTTGTTGCATTCTTTGGGCAGAATAATGAATATGATAGAAGAGGCCCTGCTACAAAATTAATATTTGAACATAAGGCCAGATTGAAAAGGGCCATTGAGTCTTTCCTGCAAATACACATTCTAGATAGCAGTTATTCCAAGATTCTCATCAACACATTTCTTGAATGAAACCCATATTCAGTTGGCCTGTTTTTTATTGCTCCCTCCACACTGTCTAAATGCAGACATTGGTGAATTAGAACAAATGATTAGGTCCTTCTCCTAGGGTACGTCTTCTATCTCCATACCATCTGTTTCACATTTATGATTTACATTGATCTTATCTCTGGTCAATATTAAGCAATCATGTTCATTAACTTAAATTTAATTTCCTATGGATATCAATGGTTAGAAATACAGCCTACTTAACCTTTTTATGTCTATTGTTCCTGTCCCAGCTTTTCTGTAATACTTCTAGCATTTAGAAATAGGCTTGAAGAGATGCTCAGCTGAAGTAATCTTTCTGCCAGAAGACCATTCTCAATCTGTTTGCCTATTGTCTTACAATCCTGTATTCCAGGATTTGTCTATTCCAAAGGAGAGCTGTGGTGGCAGACTGGACTGATATCTGGGAGTCCTCATCAGTCCAGGAGCGCTAGGACAACCTTGAAATGAACATGGATTTACTGATTAGGCCACACTGCAACTTCAGAACTGTGCAGGTTCCCCAGGAGAGTGCTTTCTGACAAATTGCTTTACGATTTCAGCAGACAGAGAATTAAAGAAAACGAGAAATGAGTGGTGGCGGTTGCATGGCATACTGTATGAGTGAGAGACAATTCAGAATAAATTTGTCCCAATTCTCCCAGTCTCATCTTTACCCCTGTGATTTTCAGCTTCCAGCTGCCAGATGAGAGAGATGGACTAAATGTCTTCCTCTCGTTGGGTATCGTTCTTGCGTTTGGACAGTCACTCCTCACTCCCCGTGGGTATAAAAGTTCTCTTCATCTTCGCCAGCTGTAGGAAGAAGGGAGGGCTGTTCAACAAAGCCATTGAACGAGCCGTTTTTGGGGTCGCACAGACAGGGCCTTGCGGTTGTGCAGTCTTCATTACCTCGCCCTCACAAGAGCTGTTATGGCACCAATGAGGATGAGTGTGATGATGAAGGGTATCACGTGGAGATATATTTGCTATGTGTGAACAAATTAGACAATGACATCTTGTTTATTGATAGAGAAACCACCAGAGCAGAAGTGAAAGCAATCCAAGGTCTTTTTGAAAGGGTTTTGCAGAAGACCTGAGTTAACAATATACCTTTGTGGAAATGGGCAAGATTTCCATTGATATTTATGATTTTTACCACATCTTTTAATTAATTAATTTAATACATAATTTTATATTCTTTTTGGTTGTGTTTTATACATTACAAAAAGGAAATTGCAGTTCTGGGAAGAGTTCGGGAAAAAAAAATATTCTTTAATCATTTTGTTGTACCTGAGCTGGAGAGAAGATCTACAGCCTTTTTTTTCTGACTGTCTGGTCAGATATTCTTTTTATAAACCAGTCAGCTGACATTTTCAAGTAGCTAGATCTTGAAGCTTGAAGAAAAATATGATTATTTTCTTTCCGCTCTTTCTAAATGTGTAGGAATTGCAAAGTGGGCAAAGGAAAGGTCTTAGACTACAGCAAGGCCCAGAATTCCAGCAAATATCCAGTGAACTCCAGAATGTGTGGTCTGTGGGACTGATCCCTTACAGTCATTGCCATTCAAGACAAACCAGTGCCACAAACTGGGCAATCCTGACCCCAGGAAGTCCATCCCACTACAGGGATGATACTTTAAATTATTCTCAAATTGACCCTCCTGCACCAGATTACCTGATTTAACAAAGGACGTTTCTGGAGTTACAATAGAAGAGCGTGCAATGGATGGCAGACACAAGATTGCTTACCCCTGGTGAAGCAAACGGATAGTGTTCCTCTCACCAGTGATGTGAAATTATGGATCTTGGGGAATAAACAAGTTAGTTCCCATTAGAACAACACTGTTCCCCTCAACACTATGACTGTCACACTCCGCCCCGGCAACGCCACTCACAGGCTCTCTTTCCCCAGGATGTGGTGAGCACTGCAATTGCACACACATTGCACTGCCTGCTGCACAGGCTGAAAGGGTTTTCCCTTATAGCACAATGGAGAATATCATACATACCTAAGTGTATATATAGTATATGTAATATATATAGTGTGTACATTACTACACTGAAAAAAATGAAGGACGCGTGCAATTCTATTGTATGTCTTACTTTTTTTAATGGGCTTGGAGATGAAAGGTCACGGGTTCAAATCCCAAGTGGGTGGGGCACCTTGAGCAAGGCACTTCACTCAGAGGACACAAATGCAAGGTGCTTGGGATAAAAGCATTAGCCAAATAAATTAGTATTAACAACATACTCATAAGTAATAAAAATCCTAATAAGTGCCATAAAGAATAGGGTCCCCACATTTACTAAGAGCTACAGTATGAGCCCCTGCCGTGGGACTGCAAAGCTGAGATGAAGCAGCGAGTGACATGGACTTTCCTTGTGAACAGATCACATTTAGCCATTTCAAAGCTGGGTAAGACAGTAACAGTAACAAGAAAAGTCCATCGAAATTGAAATCTGTGGTTTTGTTTCTTCTCACCCTGCAAATGCATGAGTTTCGTGTGATTTTATTTGCGGATTAACAACTTTGCAATGAAAAAAAAAAGAAATATAAAAAAACTTAATTTGTAGCACATTGTGGCTCTCCAAAGGCTATTGAAAAGCAGTGGCAGTGTATTTTATGCCTAATACTTAAAATAGCATTCATTACCATCGGGTACCCAGCCAAAATTATCCTCGCTTACAGCCCCCCGTGCTTTGTTTACAAGGGAAAAAAAAAGTTCTGCTTCAGCTGCAAGGAGCAAATAAAAGCATTTTGTTTGTCAAGTTGGAATTCTAATTCAAATTTTGTTTGAAGGGGGGTGGGGTGGTGGGGGGAGAGGGTGTCAAAATCCATGAAGTGATATTGTCATACCAGCCGGACTGCCTTCTGGTGTTTGTTTTAAAAAGGGAAGAAAAAACGCAGTCCAGGCGCTAGAACCTGCTCTGGGTGCCAACTGCTCGCGCATCCCTCCTCCGATGCTACGGCAACACGTTTTATTTTCAGCAGCGCTGTTCTCAGTGACTCAGATCTCGAAGCCACGTGCTTCACGGCAGGGTTTCGTTTTAAATAACCAGCGAAAGTGGCCAGCTCGGTTTCTTAGGATATGGCTGCCTGCAAAAGACCAGGCGGCCATTTTTTTTTCTTGTCCCTTGTTTTCAATTTCTCCCGTTGAATTGAGCTGTGAAGAAAGATGGCTGTCGGGTGCGAGGGGCAGGGGAGTACAGGTCATGCTGCTCTCTCACGGATCGTACCTAATGGAAATTTCAGATGTATTTTACGTCATCCTGGATGAAGGTGGCTTCTGAGCAAATAACTACTGATGAAACCTGTGATCTGGTCACACGATTCAGAAAAGTCGGGGAAGGTTTAGAGACAAGGGGAGACGATTCAAATGATCCCGTTTGACACATTTTTAGCCCAAGGGGCCTGTGTCCCTGCTCCTGGAGAGCAGCCACAGTTCTGCCATTTATATCACTTGCTTGAAATGAGCCGTAAGTGGAGAGCTGGGGGAAAAAAAGCACATCATGTTGCATTAACTAAATAAATATTCGAACCAGCGGATCCATTTGCAAATCAGCAGGAATGAAACTCTTTGCCGTAGCAGATAGGTAGTTCAAGGGCAGGGTGCTCATGAAGATATCTCCTGAAGGAGGACTAGCATTCATTTATGAGCCAGTCATTTCACGTTCACACTCCCATGAATGCCTTTGTAAAAATACACTGCCTCCCGAATCTCCTTGTAATTCATCTGAATGCTTTTTCTTCTCCATGAATGTTTACGTTGTATTTTTTTATCAGTTCTCCACACAGTTTTGAGTACCATAGTCAACTCTCATTCAGGCATAAGGAGCCAAACAGCCTAATGTTACTTTTGACCTTTCTAATGTTCTCTGCTAGCTACGCTAATTTAATTTGCCACTTTACATCCTGCCTGCTTTTAAGCGTTGCATGGCATGTTATTATCACTGTACTCTAGCTTGCTCGTGGTGTTTGCCTTCTTTATTTTTGTTTCTTTTGCCTGTTATGCCTAAAGCTACTTACAGATTTGTGACTTTTTTTTCAGGTAACTGGGATTTGCAGGCTTTCATCCAGAAGTTCAATCTGGGAAGTCCTGTGGCCACTGTGCAGTTTCTCACTCAGAACGCCAACGACTAATTTGGAAAGCTTAGGCCCATCTTATTGTGTACCCTGGCATTGCCATGGCTCTCTGACAACTAGTTAAAACATACCCAACTGCCTTGTAAAACATGCCAAAAGAGAAGCATTTTTCCCTGCTGAAAGATGTACTCCTGTCTTAAGTCACTGTTGTGTATTGATTCCTTACTGAAACATTACATCTCTTTAAAAACAACTCCAGAGCACATTTTCTGTTGGATCTATCACTTCTAGTTGGAGAGGAAATCCACAGCTTTAAGGACCATAGGGTCTCCTGGACTTGTTGGAATTTTAATCTGAGTTTCCAATTGAGGAAGATCTTGTGTTTTGTTTGTCATCCATCAAACCATAGTCGCACAACAACTTAGATGATACACAGAGAGAGGCATGGCACCAGCTGTATAGATCACTATGACAGACTTCAATCACAGCTTTAGGGGATGCTAACATGCTTTTCTCACCTGCTTCCTCACTTTGTGAAGTGGTTAGCTTTTAGTCTTATCTTTGAAGGTAATTACTGTAAGCAGAGCAAGTAGAAATACAAAATCATTTAAGATATGCAAGTAAGAAATGAAATAATAGGAAAGGAAGGAAGTTTTGAGCTGGTCTTTAAGCTTATGCCGCTGGGTTCAATCATTTTCCTCTATGTTTATTGTGTGCTCAACTTGTCAAATGGTGCAGTCACTCTAATTGTTTTGCAATTTATAGGTTTAGTGCTTTTGACTTAAATGAAACTGTATCAAATTGTGAACTGGAATCAGAGCTTGGGTCATCGCTGTGTAATGTGAAAGTCTGAGAATAAATGTCTGCTGTGATTTGGGTTTCTGATTCATGAAGACTGATTCTGATTTTTTTTTTATTCATGGTTAAGCCTATTTTTCCAGTAAAATTGGAATTTGTGCAAAATAGCAATTTTTCACAGTTTGATTCCATGAGACTGTTTTTGTGTAACTAAGGACATGCACTACTTTCTTGCAGGCCACATGACAAACCACTATGGCTTGTCACAGTATTGGCTCTGGGGGTCATGCAAGACTCCTGTTCATGTTAAATCAAAACTGATTAGGCATGTATTTCTAACCTTCCCCATGTCATTGTGAGCTGAATTAATAGAAGCAACAGCTGAGTTGGATTATCATTTTTTGATAATAATTTTGAGATGAATGGAGCTCAATTGGGGCCTCATCTGGTATCTGTTCACTAGGGGTTACTGTGGCTCAGAGCACGTCTTTAAGAATGTGGCCAGTTTTATTACTGCTTGTCCAGTCTCATTCCTGGCAAACACACACTTAGAAAGTTACTCAGGCAGATCAAACAGTCTCTTTTCCTGACTACACAGTGTATTACATCATAGTAGCAACACCTATGACACCCCACACTGTACAGGACAAGCCAGTGTATGGAGTTTCAGTGAAAGCCCTCACAAACCTGTGCTAAAAAAGGAGGCTCAGAGTGAGAAGAGCTCTGATTCTGTCAGCACCTGGGACAACACTCCTGACGTCAGACCTGTCGGGGAGGAAGCAGCACCAGAAGACCAGTCTTCCCTTCACGTCTTCCTCTTTTTAGATTTAATCCTCCCAGCCCTCCTCACTCACAGAAAAAAGGTTATGGTTTCTGGTTTCCGCTACTATGATTCTATTAACATGTAGTGGATTTTTCTTTCTGTGTAATTGTGGGTAAAACACTCACTGCTGGTTCACAGAATATCTTCTTTTCTTTTGCTTTTGATCATGTCTGGTTTTGTGAAGTGAGGTCAGCTTTCCTTTGACTTTTTTCTCCATATTTGTACATATACAGTATACAGGATGTATACTGTACATACTCATTGGAACTAGCAGGGCTTAACTCCACTCTGAAAAGGACATACATTGTAGTACAGTATATACAGTACATTATATACATTATATTTTTCACCTTAAACGTTGCTTTGATTTTCCAGATCCTTTGTTGTCTACCTGTAAAACATCCCAGCATTAATTAGAAACTAAAATATTGTGACTTGGATGATGGTTTCACTTTAGGAAAAGGAAATCAACTAAATTAAACAAACATTATGTGACATTATGCATTTACAATATCTTAGGGGAAGAGTATAAAAAAGGCCTGATTTTCTCCCCAGCTTTCTCATTTAATTCAGGAGATTTTTATTCGATCTCTGAAACCTCTGCACTCCTGCGCTGACAGCACTCGCTGCTGTCAATGTATACTGTATCTGTTTCAATCCAAGTGAAAGACACAAACGAATAGGTTGAAATTCAACATAAAAGTCAATGATAAGCACGTCCAACCCTCAGCAGTAATATTTCTTTAGACTCCTATACTGGTAATGACTCCCAGAGTGGCAGTCATTAATATTGAAATGAACTACCATATACTCTGCTCTCATGTATTTTCTGGTATTCTTTATAGACAGATTTTATGTTTCCTTTTATGTGAAAATAACATTTCTAAGACCATTTGTTTTTTCAGAAAAAGTGAAATGTGAAATGGCTTTCTAAGTGTTTTTTGTTTTCACAAACAAGTTCCCCGAGGAAGAATATCTAACTTTTGCTTCGGTGGTTTCAGGTGAATCTGACCTGTTTAACTCTCTATTTGGGGTTTTTACGTTTATTTCCAGTTACTAATTATATGAGAAGGGAAGAAGACCCGGTATCACGGGTCTTAATGTGGAAAGAGTTGCTACTAATTTTGCTCCTCGGCACAGGAAGTACGTCAGGCCCTGGAGAGGAAGTGGGCGGCTCTGACCGAGACCACAATACAGGCGGAAACCACAAGCTCTACTGCAATGGAACTTGCTGGAACCAAAATACTCCTCAGCACTATCTTTGAGCCTGACACTTGGGCAGTGCTTGAGGGGAAGGGGGGGGGTGATTATTTTTGTTATCTGAGAAGGGAAAGTTTTAGTTCTATTTGTGCATATTTCTTGTTGTATTTCCATTGATAGGTACATGGTATATGAGGTCAGAATATTAAACAAGATGCTGCATTTTTAAAATGATTTGTTTAGTTAAACGCAGAACTCAAATACACGAGACTAGTGGATCCTCAAAAAAAGATTTTGTTCCGTGATGATTTCTTTCAACTTTGGTATAGCCTTTTGAGCTGGTAGTTAAGAAATATACCTTAAAGGAGTGAGTGAAAGATTTTGTGCTAATAGAGAAACAGGGTTAATAGGTCCCCCATGGAGAGAAGGGTTTATTGGTGGAATTGGATTTCCCTGACTGGCTGAGTCATTGTGATAAAAACCTAGAGAAGGTTTCTTTCTCACTCTCCTAGGAACTAATGGAGACTCACAAAACCATAAAGGCAGCATTTTCTCTAATATCAATCCTTAATACACAGGAACAATAATGTGTGTGCATATATGTGCAGCAACTGAGTAAAATATTACAAAATGCCACATTCAAAAGAAGTGACCCATCCTGTTCTTGGTATTTGGCATGGCCCAGTACATACTGTGCTATGTCTCATTGCGATTATTGTAAATTAGTACCAGACCCTTTCTTCAGTCTTCTCTGCTATGGGAAAAAAGGCACATTTTCTGGTGCATGTCATGTGATTGTGGTGCTCTGCTGAAGGCAAAAACAAACCTGGCTAATGGGTCAGTCCAGACAGCCTCTAGGGTGGCAGCGATTGACAAATTCACTTAACACGGAGCTACTGGAACACAGAAACTAAGCAGATGATTACTGAGAGATCTTTCATCTTGACAAGCATCTATGAACATCTAGTGGAACTACTGCGGTGAAGTGTTGGAGTTTACTGTTGGAGACGGAACGACTTGTCTGCTGCTCCTGGATGTTGTGGGATTTATTTGTATACATAAACAAAGGAACAAGTAGTGGTTTATTCACTGCAGACACGGACTGTAGAAAGAAAATGGACTCTTTCTCATGGAAGTGACCTGCACCTGCTCCGAAATGTAGGTTTACTGTGTGTAAATGCATAATGGGAGGCATTAGAAATGCAAAAAATGAGTATTGGAACCAATTGCATTTATATTAACTTTATATTTACATTAAAGCCCAGTTTACTCTATATGAATTGTCTTTCTACAGAAGGTGCCTATCACTGGACATAAAATATCAGAACATTGTATTCTAACTTAATTTAACTGAACTACTTTTTCTCTGAACTGATCCTATTTAGCGTTTATCCCAGGTCTTAAACCATAGCTTTATGGACTCCACTTCTTTGGCCCCAGTAGTCATCTAGACAGATATGTACCGAAGAGCAAAGGTTCTTGTAGGATGTATAATATAGTTTAGAAGCTACCCCATATTACATCATGATACTTTCTTGGTTGATTTATGTGGTTTCATTTATGTGGTTTTTATTTGCTTCTTTAGTGTATTTTATTTCTATAATCAACATTGTTTGTCCTACATTGCCTACCTTGAGCTTAGTTTTGGTGTTCTGATGATGCCTGAACATAGGCATGCACAACAAGACACAGTTCCCCTCTTAGCTGAAGATTGCCATTCTGGATGAACACCTACCAAGCCAAGCCACACACAGGCAACCTCACCTAGTCACCGCAGGGCAGAGAATGAACCTGAACCTACCATTTCTGAAATAATCTCAGCCTGCGCTGTTGGAAGATAGCTTTATTGGATGAACTGCCTGGGAAAAAGAGGTTTTCAGATGATCAGAGATGCCGAATGCTTCATGCAGCAGTTCCTTCTCACTTGTAATACAGTCATCGTCATCAATTTTACCCAGTAAAGATAATGCATATATGCATTATTTTTAAAAGTTGTTGATTTTATTTAATATTTAATATTTATTTAATTTCCTCATGTGGTTACTTGTATCATATTAATCCTCATCCAGCTATTTCCTGAAAACTCACAGTAACCTGGCTGAGCAATGTCAGATCCCCACAAACCTTTGTGTAGAGTCATTCCTGATTTCAGTTCTAAATACACTCTCTTATTCCACTTGTGTGCTCAGGTCTTAGTGTCACTAGTTCTCCCTATGTAGTCCGCTGGGTTGACTTTGTCAGTAACTTTCAAGATTTTAAATACATCTATCAAGTCCAACCATATCATCCCTTATTCAGGTCTAAAGAGATCCAGTTCCTTTAATACCAGAAATAAACCTTATTCGCCTTCTTGGAAATGATTTCCTTTTTGTAACGTGGTGACCAAAATTGTACGCAATCATACAAAGCATTTTAAGTGATGGTCTTAGCAAGAGAATTTCAACTCCAGTAGTTCCCGCAATATATTAGTAATTTACCACATTATCTAGATGAGGACTCTGATGCATTCAACGACTGGTCTTGCTGAGATTTTGGACAGAACTTAATTTCATTTTTCGACGTTCAAAAGAAGTACTACTACTTCTGATAATACTACTACTTCTACTAATAATAAATGTCTACATTGTGGAAGAAAGGGCAGTCAGTACTAATGCTGTTGTTTATGTGCTTCAACTAGTATCTATGTCACTGAGGACAAACACTCTGTCAATATCAGTGCTTTCTGAAAGAAGGTTGATTTCCAAGAACGACTTTGATGTGCAGATGATCAATGTCTTGTTGGAGGTTTCACTGACCTTATTATTGTGTCTCACCAGACTGAGAGGCTGCACAAGGGTGATTGAGGGCTTTGTTCCTTCTGAGGCTTAACCTACCTCAATAAACCTTTAGGTGCCCTTTCTGTGAACTCCGAGAAATAATTGACCAATTACCTGATATTTGCACCAATCTTTAGGAGCTTATTACTTCAAAAAATAAGCAGCAAATCCTTTAATATCACATCCGAGGATTTATTTTTTAAAGAACCTCTGTGCTCCGAGATGCACAGAGCTTTTGCTTCCACTGGTGCAGGCA